GCTAAAAAACATTTTTTCACCAGTTGCGAATAATATTTTTCATCACAATGTGGCGGAAATTGGACTTTTAGGCACGCGGAGCGTGCCGAAAAGTTCACTTTTCGTCACAGCGTGATGAAAATTCATTTTTTGTCATGACGTATGAGTGGGATTGGCTTTAATATTTTCAAAAAAAAGGTAATCCTTATGCCTTCATTTTTTGAAAACATACATTGATATTCGGAAGCCTACTACCAATGAAATTGGTAGAAATAAAAATAGGAGAAAAAAAATACGTGGAGAGTAGCAGTCGTATGTAATCTGTCAAATGGCATCTGTCGCGCTGCTTGGTTTCTACAGCAAATATGATGTAATTTACATATTTTTAATTTTGTCATTTCATTTTTTCCCCTATTTATCAAATATAATTATTGCAATAAATTATTTTCCTAATGAAAGAAAAATTATTTTTGAAAGTTGTTTTGAAATTTTTACAACTTGAATATTATAAATAACTTGTAACTAAAGAATATGCAAATAGAAATTCTTCCATTTCGTATGACTCAACCTCAAGGAAAAATTCACCTTCATCCCTTATCGCGTAATTGCCGTTTCGTCGGTGACTTTATTTCTCCAATTATGGGTCTAATTGTTTTGTTTATCAGACAATTATAACATGACGTCAATTCTGTTCTCAAGAGAATTAACAATTAATTTTCCGAATTAAATTTTTTTCAACTGTTTTTTTATTAAAAAAAAAACATTTTACCGTCAAATTCATTCATTTTCCTGAGTTCCCCAAACTTCAAACTGAAATGAATAGTTAACGATAATAGTTCCATTAAAAATTCTTGCAGAATTTAATCAATGAGACATCCATTGAATAAAGAATATCAGGAAGGAGCATTGGCTCGGGTGGCTTGATGCGAGAACGGTACCCGATCGGTACTTGGGACGTTGCTGCTCGTTTGGGCTGCGTGCACAGAAATTTCATTTTTCAGTACTTTTTCAGCTATTATTAATAAACAATGCTCCTAGGCGACAATTTATTTACTCAAAAAATCATTGATCACATGTTCTAAATGTGTCCAAAGTTTCATGAGTTTGGCTGCATTTTTTCCTTGGGTTTTGCAGTTTTTTTGGTGATTTCCATAAGATCACGGGTTAAATGACCACTTTTTGAAAAATTCATAATAAATTAACCATGCTCCTCAGCAGTCTGAAACTTTGCACACGCCTTTTCCATCATTTAAAGCATACGTAAAAAAAAAGAAAGAAATGGCTGCTTTTTCGCTGTGTTGAAGGATAGCGGAAGGGGATTTTCACTCGTCTCAATAAATTATCAAAACTATTTACGAATAATTGGGAAATAGTACACAAGACATTTGGAACTCTCCATTATCTTTCTTATTATTCCCCTCATGTCAAATCCATTTAATTTTTTTCACAACTACAAGTCACAAAATTTAGCAAATGAATACATTCATCAGATCTGGATGATTATTGCTGAGGTCCGCCGTCGAGGTTTAAGGTAACGATAGCAGTGTCCTCCTTCTTGATAGAGATTTCAATGAAGAGTTTCGTACCCGCTCCAGGGTTTTCGTCAAGAACAATCTGCCCAAAGGTTACCGCAGAGGGTTTATCTCCCTCTTTCTGCAATATAAATTAACGATCCGGTTCAGAGTATTCAATAAACGTATGAAAAGTTTAACTGAAAATTGTTTGAAACACTATAAGAATTCTTGGCATGAATATTATAATTTTTTTTCTTGAATTTTATTTTAAGAAACAAAAATATAGTGAAGGTAAAATTAGAAGATTTAGTCAATTGACTTTTTTTTCTATAAAATATCTGTGAACAAAATGGCCTGATGTGATTGCATAACCTTCTATAGAAATTCAATAAAATTTCTCAAAGAAAGCAGCCGGAAAGTATCGAGTGATTTACCTTGTCCACGGGACATTCAAGATTGACACCCAGGAATTTTCCCATCAAGTGGACCATAATCCCGTCCTTAGATTTAGGAAGAGTGCAGAGAGGACCCGAACCCTCGCCCAATACCTGATCACTCTTATCCGTGATCTTATACTCGATCTGTTGACGAAATCGTTTGCTAATTACAACGAAATTTACTACTTTTTCAAAGTACTAATTATCAATTATTCAATACTTCTTTAAAGCATTATTTAATTCAATCACTCTTAATGCATTAAAATTCGCACGAAAAAAGTCAATATTTTGATCTTCATTCTTCGTGACGAAAAACTACTGAAACGCGAGGAAAACCTAGCGCCATGAATTCTCAGCCAAAAGGGGCTAAAAAAATTTGAAAGATGGCTTAAAACATTTGTTCCCTTTATAGAAATCGGATGAAATGAGTTTGAGGTTAATCTGAAAAGGATAAATACTTCAAAGAAATGTTTAAAAACGCGAGGTGGAGGCGCCGCCATCTTTGAAGCCCCTTGCGTCAGCGGGAGGGGGTATTCCAGCAAGATGGCGGCGGCCGCACATTTCGAAAAAATAGTGAGATGTGAGGGAAGGGAATTTTTTCATATATTTTCCCGTAGGGGTAATTTGCGGAGATGATGAATCACCAATAGATCGTCCTCAACGTCGATTGGCTTCAGGACTTTCGTAAACTCGATTGTCTGTTCTGAAGATGTTATTATGAGGAGCCATTTATTAGTGTTTCGCTCGACCTTCGTTATAGAGGCCTTAACGTCAATTTCCTGGGCCTGAAAATGTTAAACAATTATTTTTCATTTATTTCGTTGATTCGGCTATAAAAAATATATTCATTTGAAATTTTATCCATTTATTTCAATGGAATTTTTTAAAAGTTAAATAATTTATTTGATCCAAATGAATACTTTATTATTTAGAAATAAAATAGTTTTTGACCGTCGAAAAGAGAAAATTAAGTGGGATGTGAAAATCACTCATTTGGAATGACTAAATGACTTATTTTATTTAATTGAAATATATTTTACGGTAATGAGTCAATTTCGAGTGAAAATTTAGATTTAAAAAAGTCTCTGGTATGAAAATGTTGGTAAAAACTGAATATTTTGGAGGAATAACTCACGGCGAGGGCATACGCCACGAAATTGATGAACAAAAACCCAATAATTTTCATGATGACATTCGGATTGCAACAATCAACAGGTATTTCTTCCGCAAATGCTCCTCTTGCGAATGTTTTTGTGCGCAGGATATCGCACAACTTGTTGTCTAGTGATAATAGTACCTCGAAGCCCAGTAATTGTCTTACACTCACGGAAAACCGCTTTTCTTATCGGGTGGAGGTGGAGACAATCGTCGGGGAAATGAGAATTTTTTAGGAATTTTGTCGTAAAGGTGTAATAACTTACGAACATTATTGGAGAATTCAGAGACTTTTTCGTTTTATTTTGATTTCATTTTTATAAAGACTCTAGGATCGTTCATTTTGTGCGATTGAAATATTTTCGTCGCCAAAATTGTCCCACTATTGCCCTAACGTTGGTAGGCAATATTGTTTTACAGTTGGCACCCAATATTATCCCAACATTGCCCCAACATTGTCCCAACATTGCCCCAACGTTGGTAGCCAGTATTGCCCCAACGTTGGCAGCCAACAGTGTTCCAACATTGCCCCAACG